TTTTTTCATGAAAAAAGTGTGCCTTTGCACAAAAAAGGTTGAAAAACACTGTAATAGAGGCAGCATTCCTACAAAGAAAAGTAAGGTGCCTTATAATTAACTAATACCCACTAATTCAACACTGATGCTGATGCTGATGCTGGTTTTGATTATTAAAATAATGTCTACCCATCAAGATCAGCTTGTTTTAGCTTCTATGAATTTACCTATTTCCCCTTCACAGCAAACCAAGCAGATAACAATATCCATTAAGCAGAAGTGCTTCCTTTTCTGAAGGGCTGCCAAGTAGACCCTGGTTGATGCAGAGGTGCTACATTGGCCATAACCTCAGGAGCTGAGCATCAGTACCATTTCTTTAGCATTGCTGTAGCTTTGAATGGTCACTGAATGAATGGTTGCTAACCAAGAACTACTTCTATAATGTAGTCTTTATTTTGGGATGCGGGGTGGGAGAAACATCCCACCTTTATAATATGGTTATGAATAAAGTCCTCTGCCATACCTACTGATAGTCTTCATCATACTTTCTTTATCTCTTGGTATCTCTCAATAGATAAGATGCATTGTTGATGCTTATTTCAATATGTATATGGAGATTGGCCTCATTTTGCAGAATTTAAATATTTAATATTTGACACATAAGCAAATGCAAATGAACAAGGAAGATACCTGTTTAACTTTTCTTCTTTTGTTTCTTTTGCTTTAGAAACGACTTATTACTGAAGTTAAGATGGTCTTGAAAGTTTTGTTCTTGTATATTCCTCTTCCTATGTTTTGGGCCCTTTTTGATCAGCAGGTAAGTTGTGAGAAAAAATTGTTATTCCTCCTCGGCATATGACCGTGCAGTGCTTGCTAGAATTATACATTAGGATTTAGCATTGGATATAGACTAAAAAAAACTCTATATGAATATTTTTATTACAGTGGAATAAGATACATAAAATATAATCCAATGGAAAACCAATGTGATTGTATATTAGAGATGGTATGCCTAATTCTTCAGTTAAGTCTTTTTATAGTGTTAATAAAAATTGCATCCATTTTTCCATACTTCCCATCATCCTACAGTATTCCCTTTTGAAAAAAGTACTTTATCAAAGCGCAAAAAATAGGTATAAAGTAGTAAGGAAAATCAAAATTAGAAACAATTTAGAAGACAAAATCTAACTAAAGACTATTCACTCTATGTCTTGGTACCTTTGCAAACCATTGTTACTTCCACTGGGACCATGCCTTACTGCTTCACACAGTACCTTTTTGTTCCTTAAAATTCTTACCTTTGTCTTTTTGAGGTTATCATCAACTCTACCCAACCATGACTTCCTCTTGCTCTTTATCCATTATTCTTCCTTCATTTATTTGCTTGATACTTCAATCCTCATCCATTATCTCCATATGATCAAAGCATCTCAAAATATTTATTTCATTTTGGTCATTTCCTTTAGTATTCAGTTCATATTTCATTCATTCCCTTTTCATTCTGGATCCTATATTTTTTGTTTTATCAAAGCTTCTTATGTGGCATTCAATTTACTTTTATATTTTCATAAAATACTCACCTATCACTTCCAGATAACAATGTGGGATCTTAATCTCTTTTCCTTCTACCACTTCTACCACAGTGCAGATACTTAATGTGCTTCTACTATTTAATTTGTATTTTTGCTTAAAAACTTGCACTTTTTCTTCTGCAGGGATCTCGATGGACATTGCAAGCCACAACTATGGATGGAAATTTTGTAAGTTATTTCTTACTCATGAACCCTCAATCAAATTCTAACTGAGTCTTTATTATGTATTTTTACCTAAAAAGTTATCCATAGCTTCTCACCCAGCAAGTGATAAGCATGCACTTGATAGATATCCATGTATATATTCCCCTTGCTAGATTAAGGCAGTGATATTTAAATTAAATTAAATCAAATTATTAAATTCATTCATGTTTATGAGTTTTTATAAGTGAAATGCATCCATTCCTTTTTCTTTCCCTTTAGGGTGGTATTCCAATTCAGCCAGACCAGATGCAGGTACAGTAAGATGGATTTTTTTGGTGGGGTGGGGTGGGGGTTGAGCTATTTCCAAATATCATTTTAGGTTTTTTCTTAACATTATTAATTTTCTTATTTTTTCTCTCTCCTATAACAGACTGTAAACCCAATTCTCATTGTAATCATGGTCCCCATTGTAGATGCTGTTATTTACCCTTTAATTAAAAAGTGTCACATAAATTTCACGTAAGTAAATTCGGACTTTTAAAAATTGTAAATAGAAAATTGTATCAAATTCTAATGCTTAAAATTACATGAATAATGCATGAAATCCTGAAATCCTGTAGTGATGGAAACATGAACTGTTAGATTGGGTAATGGATAGGCACACACAACAGCAATGGTAACAACAGCTCTTTATTGAATACAACAAGTGAGAATCCAGCGAAGGTTGAATCTGACAGCAGCCCTTTTATAGGGAGCTGTCAGACCCTTCGACCAATAGGATTAAACCTCTGTTCCCGCCAGAACAGAGGACCTTGGTGGAAACCACTGCAGATGGTGTGAATATCTAACATGAACGACTTGGGTTACTTTACAAATCAAACTATAGAGGAGACACAACTAGTAAAAAATACTTTTATATGAAAAATAACTTCTTTTCTTCTAATGGTAAGGCACAAACAGAACTAAGCAGTAGATAAAACAAGCATCATTCAACATAATTTTCACGAATAATTAAAGCACTGTAACTTTATAAAGAAACAATCTTAATTTAGTATTTTGCAGGTGAGAAGGATGTAAGATGTGCTCAATGTACCCATATGAGAAAGCTTGTTCCTGTTAATATCAATATTTGCTTCAACTTTTACATATAACAAATTAATTGTGCTAGAATCTGTTAAAAAAAGTGAATGTTACACCTCAAAATTATTTGTCCTGATATTAAGTTAGGCACCTTACTAAATTTCTTTCAGTATTCAGTTATGAAGTCTGTGTTGTTCTAATAGTGGATTAAAAAAACATGTATTGATTCAAAATTCCTCTAATTTTGCTTTCATCTCTGGAGTTACTACAATTGTATTCCAATTTGTTTGAAAGGCATCAGTTTTGGAAACCTATTCTAAGTCTTTCAGTATTGCAAAATGTCATTTTTGATTACATATATATTCCTCAATATTGCAATATACTGCAGGTTTTGAGGGATTGCACAAAGACCCAACAACAGTGGAAATACGTTTTTAGGGAGATAAGATATATGCATCACTACTTACTGTGACAGTAGACATATTAGGGCAGTGATAGTGACCTGACAGATGTGACATGCCATGATGTTTTGGTGACAGCATTCACCAACACCCACAGAAGCTATTCTCCAAAGAACCCCTGATCTCACAGAATTTTTTGTGGCTACGGAGGCCGCATGAGAATTGGGTGTGCTCATAATGCAAGTTAAAAATTGGAGCTTAGTAAATGTACAGAAAACAAAACATGAAAATCAAAACTGTAATAAAAACATGAACAGAATGGTGGCAAGGAAAAGCATTACATGGTCAATTTCTACAAAAGGGGAAGTTAACAAAGATGAGATCTGGCAATGGTTTATAACTGGAACATTAAAAAAAGAAACTAAAATATTATGGGATTTTTGGAATACAGACTGATAAAATATAGGCTCATAACACATAAAATCTAGGCTCTAGCGATATAACTGTGGTCGAAAAGATAAAGTATGAAATAATTGATGTGGGGATACTATCCAGGGGATAATAGAATAAAAGACAAAGAATTGGAGGAGACTACAAAATATCAAGATCTGAAAATCAAAATTGAACTATTTTGGCATAAATTAGCCATTACTGGCACACTGGGTGCCATACCAAAAAATCATGGTCAGCACTTAGAAAATCTGCACATTGATATAATTTTCATCTGTTAACTGCTTGATCCACATATCTACTATGTTGGGAAAAAGTTGATGTGTATGAAGACCACCATCAGCTAAAGAACTGGCAGCTGTGTCTTCACATTGTTATGAATAATAGTAGTAATTCTTAGGTCTTGAATTAAGACTTGAATTAAGTTTCCACCAGGCTTGGACTGTAAAAATAACTATGGATTACCTACACATTGCCTGTCTGTTTCAAGTGCTTGGGAAAGATTTGATAAGTGGACAATAATGCCAAGTGCAGTCTAAATATATGGCTGACTGTATGACTAACGGTCATCATCATCATAATTTTGTTTTTAAAACTAATTTGGAAAGGTTTGCTTTGGTTTGCTAAAAGCTTAGAATCGATAAAGGAGATATATTTTTCTCAATAGTGAAGTAGGTTGAATGAAAGGGAGAATTTAAAGAAAAGTAAATTAGTTATGTATTATGGTGTATTCTTTTTAATATAACAGTTCGAAGCCCATAATTATTTTTATTTTAATAATGTTGTTTTAATGCTTGTAGTATTTATTTTAAAGTATTCCTGAATTGCTCCTTCTCCTTTGTTCGATTCCAGGCCTCTGAGAAAGATGACAGTTGGCATGTTACTGGCAGCTTTGGCTTTTGTTGTTGCTGCTCTGGTACAAGTTCAAATTGATGTAAGTAAAAATAGAGTCAAATTCTGTCCACGAGTGTTTTAAATTATAAGACTTAAAATTTTGAAGTAGTGGGCATTGTCTATTCATGAATCTTTTAAGTAATTTAGAATCCAGATTTTACATTATAGGAGGAGGAAGTGCTTTAGAGAATCATTTTTGGTTAACTACCCTGTTTAGCAACTGTTCAAAGTTACATGAGCATCGAAAACGTAATTTTATAACCAGTCCTAGAACATAGCAACCATTGTGGCATCCCCGACAATTATGCAATCACAATTTCGGCACTTTGAAATTGATGTGCATTGACCACTGTCACTGTATCCTGTGGTCTCCATTTGCAACTTCACAACCAGTTTCTGACAAGCAAAGTTAATGAAGATGCTGGCATTAAACCTGAAGGTCATGGTCATATGGTGGTTCGCTTAATGACCATGTTGCTTAGCAATGGAGTTGCTTGTCCCAATTATGATTATTAAGTGAGGACCACCTGTATATGTTTCTTATACAGGGGGATAGATATCATTTAAAGATAACTGTGAAATCAAATGGCTTCGATCAAACTGGCAGCCCTCGGGCTGAATGCTTCACATGCAGGCCACACCAACCCCAGCTCCACAAAGAGGAAAAGGTCACAAAATGTCACATGACAGCAATGTGACGTGGCGAGCTTGACACCCGTGGCTTAGATAAAAGGATCTTGATATCCTTTACATCAGGATTTTTCAAACTGAGTTCCCGGAAGAGATCCCCTCCCCCCCACTGGTCCATTGAAGAGAGGGTGCATTAAAAAAAAACCTTTCTGTCAGGGACTAAAAGGCTCCCCAAGTCTCTTATGGATAGATATTCTTCACTTTAGTCACTCTGGTATAGCAGGAAGGGTAAATTCGTCAACTAAACTTCAGAAGCCCCACCAAACTGGATTGGGGCTTTTTTATCATTAATATTTTTTTAACAAACAGGTTTCATGGCCTGAGAAACAGATTTGACAATCTCTGGTTTAGATTAGGCCTAAGTCTTTGATAAAGGTTGATTTTTGAAAAGTGGAGAGAGACTGCAGGGACAAAGAATTGGGCTGATTATTAAGAAACAGGAGGAGCTCAGTTCTTCCCTGTCATTTGCCCTCTAGCTATGTTTAAGACAGAAGTAAGGAAAGATTTGTTTTATTGATGATTTTTTTTATAAAAATTCAGTCTTGTAGATGAGTAACATAATATTGGCTGGTGGTCTGCTCCCTTGTCCAGCAAAATTACATCTTCCCTAGTCTTTCTCCTGAGACTAGCAGTCCCAGTGAGCACAGAACAAGATGATGGGACTGCCCACAGCTGCTACCCCTGTTTTAGGCCATGAATTTCATAGGAAGTTTCCTTCAAAATTGGATGGGGGAATAACAATGTAAACTGTCATTAATAATGCAAAACCACATTTTGTGGGTGTGAATATACGTTACTAGTTCTCAAAATACTTTCAAGGTGAAGTTTGGCATAATAGCACTTTCTGTTTGTTACTGTCTACCCCAGCAAACTCTTCCAGTCTTTCCTTCAGAAAACCAGTTTCAAGTCAAAGTAATAAATTTGGGAGACACTAATGCAACAATTGCTACTGCTGGACAGCGCATTCCCTTGAGTCAATTTAATGCGGTATGTTTTACGATTTCATTTTAAGTTTTATTCCAGTTTCAAAACAAATGCATTTGAATGAGATAAAATTTCTCAGCATTAATTAGAAATTAGCAAATATACTATTAGTCAAAATACAGTTTGGGAATATATATCTTCTCATACATAGACCACAATTTCCTACATTGCATACCATCTCACAAATAAAAAAGAACAGTTTCTGTTTTAATATTAACAATTTCTACATTTCTGAAATTATACCATCATCTCTATTGTCTATGGAGATTCTCAGTCATCCAAGTCATGGTTGTCCCAATGGTGCTTGAGGCAACTGGACTTTCTGGTTTTTCTTTGAAGATGTTTTGCTTCTCATCCAAGAAGAGCTCATCACCTCTTGTCAGCATTACACATCACAGAAGGGGAATGAAACCAGTATTCAGACGTTAAATTTCATGTGTACAGCTGAAATGGTTGGAGAGATACAATGTTAGAAGGAAATTAATAGCAATAAAATCTGATCATATTTCAACTTAATTGATCAAATGGAGGATTTTTTTGATGAGGTATCAAAAGCATAAAATAGGAGGGATGATGATGATGATGATGATGATGAAGAAGAAGAAGAAGAAGAAGAAGAAGAAGAAGAAGAAGAAGAAGAAGAAGAAGAAGAAGAAGAAGAAGAAGAAGAAGAAGAAAAAATATCGCAACCTGGCATCGAAACTACACGGCTATGGATGAAGCATGTAACAGTGATATCCATTGTCATTGGGGCACTTGACACCATGTCCAAGAATTTTACAAGATACACCAACAAATTGCAGCTTCCTGCAATAACACCAGCAGAACTGCAAAAAACTGCGCTACTCGGAACATTTTATATTTTAAGAAGGTACTTGGATGATACCTAGGATGCTGGCGACAAACTGTATCAACCATTAGCACCAGTCACTGGTATTTGTGATGCATTTTTTAGTGTTCAGTTGGCTGAGTTTATGTTTAATGAATAACGTATATTATTATGTGGTTAATCTTTGGTGAGATTCACAGCCTTTAGGGCTGGTTGGTAGTTCAACAGCTCGAGTACTAATCAAGGACCTAGGAACTGTTAAGGTAACAGAGGATATAAGCTGTTCCAAATAGGGTGTTTTTTGTAGAATCAGAATGTTCAAGCCTGATAAATTTAAATTTTCCAAATAGCGAGGTAGCCCTTTTGCTCCAAGGGCTCCAATTACAATCGGGACAACACACGACAGTCACTCAACTTCAATTTGCAAGTCCTGGTACTTTGTGATTTTTTCTTGCTGTTTATCTTCTTATCATCATCGTTGTTGTTGTTGTTGTTGTTAATTGACAGATATGAAAACTATTCAGTTACATGAAAAGAATGCCAGTTGTTTTATTGTTTTTTACTTTTATTTACAGACGGAATATATGACATATGAAATGAAGAAACCAAACAATATTGATATATCATATCTAAATAACACTCTAACAAAAGAACTGAAAAATTTGGGGAAACAACGCCATACTCTTGTAATAAAAAATAAGCCCCAAATTGAAACAAAGCTGGTAAATTTATTATTTGTTCTGTTTAGCTCATTTATTATCAATTAAAAATTAGTACTAGATGTATGAATTACAAAATGTATAAATGTGATAGAGGCTATAATAGGACTGTTGCTGTTGAGCATACACAGAGTTTGGGCACAGGAATAGTATGTAAATAATTATAATAATTAAATAAAAAAACTCATCCAGATGAATTAAAGAAGAAAAGCAGAATACATTTGATAAAAGATCACAAAAGAACCATATTTAAAATAAGGTTTCATGTGTCTAAATGATAGCTTAATTACTCTGCCTTCCCATTTGTGGAAATTTGTATTTAGCATGGTACACTGAAACATAAAGAGTGTATTCATAGGAAGAAGACATCTGCCAATGTTATATGGAAATTAGTGTTGATTATATCAGGGGGAAAATACATGTTGAGTGCAGTAGGGTGGGATTCTTAAGTAAGTATAAAGCATGATGAAATAAGGACAAGAGTGAATGCATGAATGTAGATCAAAATACAAAAAAAGAAAAAAGAAATCAACACAAAAGAAATGTATTAAGGTGGTCTGATCCAATGGAGAGAATGAATGAGCAAATTACAACACAAAAATCTGAAGGAAGACTGATTGGGCCTAAGTGAAAGGAAATATCAGAAAAGTTGTGACTAGATGGAATTAATAAGATCCTCAAAAAGAGAATAGTCAGTTTCCCCATCATTTGGGAAATAGTTAAATGAAGTATTATATATGATAAGTATGGAAAAGTTAACATATCAAAAATATATTGAAAAATACACAGGACCATTTTTAAATCATATATAGTATTCTTTTATGAACTTTATTAATAAAGATAAGGTTAAATTGGGATCAAAATACAATAATAGCAATATGAGGGTAATGCAGACGAAACAATGGCAAGATTGATTTGCAGGAGCAGAAAAGTGTGGATATATTTTAGTGTCAGCATAAGTTAGATTTCATTAGATCTCCTTTCCTTTTATCTCCTGCTTACATGAATGGTTATGTGTTCATGTATTTTAAAACCTGGAACAAGTATGCATATTGTGTTCTTATTATTCCTATAATCTCATGACTTTCTTAATAATGAAAGTTAATCATGCTCTTTTCTATATCAGGGTTGGGATTGGCTTGAAATCTTGATTGACAGGACTTTGTTCTGAAACTTAATTGTGGTTAAAATGAAGTTTAATATATTTGTTTAACATAGTTAAGATTGATTGATATATTCATGCAGTGCACTTCAGAAAACAGTACAAAAAGGTTGAGGGGTTGAAAGCACTGTACAGAATGTCCATAAGTCCAAACTAACACCTATTTGTCTGATGTAGTCATTATCTGTATAGAACATTTAAATATTAGTGGTATCCAGATATAAGCATGTTTGTGAACAAAAATCAAGAAAATGCCTATGTTGTAAAGAAATATAACTGTTCTGTGTGGATTTTATTACCATTACTCAAGCTATTTCTCCCTCTTAGTTTATAGATGGCATCACGGAAAAACCAGAACAAGGCAATAATATGATCAGGTAATAAAAATTAATTATGTGGATTTATATTTTATTGTAGTTAATGTTTAATTTTATTAAGCCAAAAGAGTCTAGAACTAAATATTGTGGCAGGGTTTAGTTGCTTTGACACTGAAGACAGTCTTGGATGGCTCTACTATCTAGGTGTGATGATACACCTCAAACCATAAGTTTGTCTCCAGGCCACTTTCTCTTACAGAGAAATCCACACCAGACTCCATTGTAATAGCCTGCAAAAGCAAGACAAGAGAAGTGTACTGTATATGTAGAGGACCTCTAGATTGTTCGTGGGAGAGAGTGGACGGAGCGCTGTACTATTTTAAGGCAACGGCACTCAAGATTTTTAGCCTTAGTCTAAATTATAACACCTTTAGCTGTATAACTAAATTTTGTATCTTGTCCCAGAATTTTTGGAGTAAGAAAGCTTTGGCTATAGTATTACTAAACACTTGCAAATCTCTGTTAATAATATTTAAGAATGAAATGTCAGTACAGTTGGTCCTCAATTTACAACAGTTTATTTAGCGACTGTTCAAAGTTACAGTAGCAATTAAAAATCCAACTTATGACTGTTTTTCAGTTACGACCTTTGCAGCATCCCCATGATCATGTGATCAAAATATAGATGCTTGACAACTGGTTCATATTTATGACTGTTGTTGTGTCCTCAGGTGATATGATTCCCTTTTGCACTTTTGACAAGCAAAGTCAATGGGGAAGCCAGATTCACTTAGCATCGGTGTTACCAACTTATCAACTGCAGTGATTCACTTAACACCTGAGGCATGAAAGGTTGTAAAATGGGGCAAAACTCACTTAACAGATGTCTCATTTAACTACAAAAATGTTGGGCTCAGTTGTGGTCTTAAGTTGAGGACTACCTGTACTAAGGAAATGCCAGTTAATGATAATCAATGGCTAAAATGGCTTTCAATTTTTTTTAATGCAACTTTTTAACTTTTTAAAGATTTATAAACAGTTTGGATTCAGTCATTAATATCACTCTGGGTGATGTGGCCTTTGGAGAACTGACGAATTTCTCAGTCACCAACTACACTGCTTTTCCAAGTGGATCGTAAGTATTCTTTAACATTACAATAGAACAGCTTTCCTCCAACTGATGCTGTTAGATGCCTTGCAGTTGCAAACTAACAGTTGCAACTGCAATAATTCTGGAGGATATTAGTATGGGAAAGTACGCTGCTAAAATGGAATTGATAGAAAGTGAACATTAATCCCAAAAAATTAGGTACAATTAATGTGTACATCTCACAGAAAATACTATTAAGTTTACCTATAATAACGTTTATAATTTAAGTTATGATCTACTGGTTGATTGACAACTATGCTGAAGAGTTCATGTCATATTTTTCTTATCTATACTGGATTCTAAAATTGTTCTTAGCTGTTGCAGGAGAAAATGACATTTTAGGGCAGTGGTTCTCAACCTGTGGGTCGGGATCCCTTTGGGGGTCGAACGACACTTTCACAGGGGTCACCTAAGACCATCGGAAAACACATATTTTCGATGGTCTTAGGAACCGAGACACCAATTTTATGGTTGGGGGTCACCAAAACATGAGGAACTATATTAAAGGGTTGCGGCATTGGGAAGGTTGAGAACCACTATCTTAGAGGGTTTAACCTTTGATTTAGCTAATCATCAAGATCTAAGCATTCTGGGTTAACCCAGTGGCAATTCCCCCAAGACACGGTGGCTGCCATTTTCCCCATCTTGACCTGAAATGTTTCAGTGTGCATCACACATGAGTAGGTAAAATTGCTATGACTGTCACAGAAAATGGCAGAAAAAATGGTTTAAAAAAACATGAGAAAGCAAATATGAAAAAATGAATAATGAAACTAGTGGACCTTTGAGAAACAAGTTCTAGGATAGTCAAAAGTGGTAAAGGAAAAGGAAAAAAAAGTAAGAATGGAAGGAGACAAGAACTCCTTTTTAATTTTCTTATTTATGTCCATCACCTCTTTTTTTCATTGGTGAAAAGAGGTGGAGTGGTGAACCCTGAATTATCAGCCAAAGATTTTATCCATATTAATTGTTGAATTTTAAAAGTTTGCAAAATACACTTGGACTTATAAAATAGTACAATAATTTATACCAATGACATAGTTTTACATGAGCAAGATAACATTTGAGTTATTTTGGTTATTTTGGTTTAAAAAGGAGTTATTTTGGTTAATTTTGAGAGGAAAACATTTCATAGAAAGAGTGAAACAAATGATGTCTGTTATTTTATTAATGGAAGATTTGAAAAGAATCCTAGATATAGGCTTACCAACATCTTCACTTTGGTAAAATACTGAAAGTAGCAGCTGAATTACAAAGAGAGTTAGGAAAAGTTCACTGGATCCTGGTTTGTAGACTAATTGCCTACTTGGGGTTTATCATCTTTTGGCAACAGACTGCTTGTTTTCTGCCTGTTCAACCAGCTTGTTTTTAAATTACGTGCTCTTTCTGTGATTATGTAAAAGAGCTTGGCAAGTTTCTATTTTTAACGAGGCTCTTGAAGAATGTTGTGCTGGTTGATTACAGGTGGCAGGAACATGTAATGATGTGTTGGGAATTGTCACAAACTATCTTAAAAAGTGCCTGCTACACCCCTTTTACGATCAGGAATTAAAATTTGCAAACCTACTTTGGGGTGATGCTCATAATATGAATAGGCTTTTTTTACATTTATTTTTGATATTCTTTCCAAAATTTGGGTATGGTTTTCAAAGAAAAGTTATGTTTGAAAATCACTTTATCAGTACCTAATTTTTCTTATTGCTTTTTTTCCAGAAAAAATGTTACTGTTAACATTCATAATAAAACGTGTGAAGTTCCATCCATGGAATTTGGTTATGGCAGTGCTTACACTATTATAGTCACAGGGGTAAGTTCTAAACTTTGTGCCTGAATTAACCAAATATTTACTACATAAGCCAGTCAAAGATTTAAACCCCTATAATAAGGCCTTAGTTGAATTTTTAGCATTGTCATCTTATTTTAATGATTGTTACTTTATCACAGGTGCCAAATAATAGAGAGGAAGTTGCATTGTTGTTTATAGACAGATGTGTTTTCATGAAAGTTTTGTTGTGGTTAATAATAGAAAATACAGGCAATGTAAATAAGGAGTGGGTTTTTATAATTAAAAAACTTTGGGTCATTACCTGAAGATGGTGTCCCTAACAGTATGATCAGAACCTTGCTATTGTTCATTATTGATTCTGGCCACTATCTTGATTGTTTGACTCACTCCTTGATAACAGTCAGAAATCTTTCCATAGGTTTCTTTAAGAATGTGTTGGTCAGATACTATCTTGTTTAGGGGCTGTATTGATTTTTTATAATTTATGATCTGCCCAAAGAAATTGTGTGCTATTCAAAATTAATTAACTAATTTGAAGAATTTTAATAATATGGAAAACAAACTTTATTTTTTATGATTTTCTGGGTTCTATATGACTTGACATGGAATATAAGACTATCCTATAATCTCCAGAGGACAACAGATTTCTCCTCTACGCTGCACCTTTAAAATTGGAAGGTCTGGTTCGATTGAGTGGCAATAGATGAGAGAGAGAGATATGGAGATAGATGAGGTTTTTCTATCTTGATTCTTTTATGGAGGGAAAGGAGGTTAGGTTCACTTCAAGACTGCCTACCTTTCAGATAAATATGATACAATATCAGTAAAAGAAATTACATTTTGGTGTCTTTTTCCTTATTTTAGGAAAAGGTACTATATGAATATATTTTGTTTTCTTTCAGTGTACTGGCACGAACCTAACCGTTAAATACATTGAAGATATTCAAGCCAACACAATCAGTATGGCATGGCAAATCCCCCAGTATTTCATTATTACTTGTGCTGAAGTTGTCTTCTCAGTGACTGGACTTGAATTTTCATATTCACAGGTAACTCACTTGGCTTTGTAAGAGGGATCTTGGAGTCCTAGTGGACAACCATTTAAATATGAGCCAGCAGTGTGCAGCAGCTGCCAAAAAAGCCAACACAGGCTACATAAATAGAGGGATAAAATCAAGATCACGTGAAGTGTTAATACCACTTTATAATGCCTTGGTAAGGCCACACTTGGAATGCTGCATTCAGTTTTGGTCACCACGATGTAGAAAAGATGTGGAGACTCTAGAAAGAGTGCAGAGAAGAACAACAAAGATGATTAGGGGACTGCAGACTAAGACATATGAAGAACGGTTGCAGGAATTGGGTATGTCTAGTTTAATGAAAAGAAGGACTAGGGGAGACATAACAGCAGTGTTCCAATATCTCAGGGGTTGCCACAAAGAAGAGGGAGTCAAACTATTCTTCAAAGCACCTGAATGTAGAACAAGAAGCAATGAGTGGAAACTAATGGAGAGAAGCAACTTAGAACTGAGGAAAAATTTCCTGACAGTTAGAACAATTAATCAGTGGAACAGCTTGCCTCCAGAAGTTGTGAATGCCCCAACACTGGAAGTCTTTAAGATGATGTTGGATAGCCATTTGTCTGAAATGGTATAGGGTTTTCTGCCTCGGCAGGGGGTTGGACTAGAAGACCTCCAAAGTCCCTTCCAACTCTGCTATTGTATTGTATTGTATTGCTTTACAACAGACCTGCTGTTGGACTGTGGAGTGCTGTTGACAACATAAGGCATATTTTCAGAAAAAAATGAATATAGGGTTTGGTTTGTTATGAGAGAAACCTCAGCTCAATGACAACAACCCATTTCAAGATGGTTTCCTCAGAACAGCTCATCTTGAGATGGTTGAGTTTTGTTTGAAGTGAAGATCTCAGGACCATGTTGAGGCTGAAGCACTTTGAAAATTATTAAAACTAAATATCCCTTACTAGATTTTGAAACAAGGTTTGAAACTATTGAATTGTATATCTTATTTCTGTAGGCACCTACCAACATGAAGTCTGTGCTGCAAGCTGGCTGGCTACTGACTGTGGCCTTTGGCAATATCATTGTTCTTATTATAGCTGGTGCTTCAAAACTCGATGAACAGGTAAATTATTAGCCAAAACAAAACTTTGATAAACTTTGCTAATCAACAAAGAATACAGAATTAATTTCAGTAAATTTTATTAGTATTAGTGTTTAATTTTAAGTTATGCATGTATTACCTGCATTACCTGTTACCTGCAGTATATTTATACGGTCTGGAAACTTACTCAATAAACTACTTATTTACTTATTAATAAAATACAGTAATAGGAAATATATTGCATAAAATCAATAAAACAAAACCATAAATAGCATTAAGAACAAAAAAAATTAGAACTTAGAAAAAATGTTTTCATCTAGGAATAAAAAGACAGTCATGTTGATGGTGGTTGGACTTCCTTGGGATGAGTATCTTAAAATACCTATCAAAAAACACCTAAATTCAGCAGGTTCTGACAGGTTCTGGAGAACCGGTAGCAGAAATTTTGAATAGTTCAGAGAACCGGTAAATACCACCTCCGACTGGCCCAAGAGTGTGGTGGGAATGGAGATTTTGCAGTATCCTTTCCCGGCCACACCCACCAAGCCACACCACAGAACTGATAGTAAAGAAATTTGAATTTCACCACTGCTTCCTAGTTGTTGCAACATGAGAAATCAAGAAGGAAAAGCCTTTAAAAAAAAAGATAAGTTATGAATAAGGTATGGGAGTTCTTCGCTTAATATATGAGGATCTCATCTATGCGAAACTTTACTGGTCATACCCACTGAACTGAATTAGCCCTGAAAACAAATAAGAAATCATAATAGACTAACATATTATGAATATAACTTCCTGTCTGAGTTTTTTTTAAATACCGTAGGTCTACAAGTTATGTTTAAAAATAGGTCTAAAAGTTTTAAAAAATAACTTGTAGACCTGTTTTGCAATAGATTTCTAGACTGTTTTTAAAGAGACTCTCATATACAATGAAGAACTCCAGTAATCAAAATGGGAAATTATGAAAGCATGGACCACTGCAGGTAGACAGTCTCTTTCTAGATAATGTCATTAAATGAAGCTGGCAAGTGATGATCTTTTTATATTAAAATACCCTATTTGCAAAAATGAACATTAAAAAAAAAAACTAAGCCTAATTGTTCTACCATTGGGGAAAGCTATAGACTAGGACATATCTCTAGGCAATGATTCCCTGTGTTAATCTAAAGACTAATGGTACAGTTCTAGGTATGGTTGCTGAAAATTCCATCAAGATACCTATTCCCAAGGAACTAAAGTTGAAGCCTTTTCCAAATGATACTTTTCCCTCTATTGCCCAGCAAATTTTAATCCCTTAAAAAACGTCATCATGTTTATGCCAAAGTTGTCCAGAAGAATGTATGTATTGTTTGCCTTAACTGTATGTTCTAATTGAACCTAACTTCATAGGATGATCATGGTTTAGGGCAGGGGTGCCAAACTCAATTTCATTGAAAACCACATCACTGGATTGTGTTTGATATTGAGGGGGCGGGTGTGGCCAGGGTGAGTGTGGTCAGCTTGACATCACTCATGTTGGGGGCACCTGTGGTGGCCCGAGTGCTTGGCCAGCAAAAACGAGCTTCCAAGCTCCATTTTTGGCTGCAACAACCTCCTGCAACCCTTTCCTAGCAAAAACGGAGCTTGGGACGACTGTGCATGGCCCTTGCAAGCTCCGTTTTTAGCTGCAACCGCCTCCTACAATTCTCTGCCATTGAAAATGGAGCTCTATTTTTGCTGGCAGAGGTACCATGGGCCGGTCCTTCACTGTTTCCAGGTCGGCCCCACGGGCCAGATCTAAACACTGTTTTCAGATCCGGCCCACAGGTCTTGAGTTTAACACCCCTGGTATAGGGGAATCAGGTTCTCCTGATGTTAATGCTTTAGCATTACCTGAGGCCTAAGGCAGAATGTCCAGTGTTGAGAGATGTCATTGAATGGTCAAAAGCTGAGAATTGTCACTGGGTCAGAATTTCCCAAATCTGGCTCATTTCAGGTGGCCTGCAGGCTGTAGTTTAAATATCATGGACTGAAGATCAGTGCCATTGCTGCTGAGTGAGAAATTGAAGACCTCTTAATATCTTGAAATGATTAACATGTTGTAGGTGAACTTCAAAAGTCTAGTGACATCTGAACGGTGTAAAAGAATTGTGCAATGTGGTATCATCCCCCAGATATGTGATTGTAAGATACTGAAGGACGTTGTACATGCATACAACTTGTGGCGCTTTAGATATAACAGCAAAAGGAAAGTATGGAAAGTTTCTACTAAAGTCTAGAAAATGGAAAGGATTTCTGGGGTGATCCAAATATGAAACACCATTTTAATTTTCCATATTAGTACTAGTTCCTGCAAGTATCTTAGAATTCAAATTGTTACTTGTACCATTTTGAGTCAATTGAGGTTATTCTGAAGCCTAAAAAACAGTAATTTTCGCCTCAGAGAAGATAAGGCCGTTCTATTCTCTAAATCAATGTAGACATGCTTATTCATTAGCAAGACTGTAATGTGCAAAAATCCTGTTTACATCCCTTTTTTTCCTTCTTTTTTCACAGTGGGCAGAATATGTTCTCTTTGCAGCATTGTTGTTTGCAGTTACTATAATTTTTGCTATTATGGCCTATTTTTACACCTATGTGGATCCAGCTGAGGTTGAAGCGCAGTTTGCAGAAGAAGAGGAGAAGAAGAAAGAAAAAGATCAACTGGAAAAAGAGAAACACATATATGAAAATGAAGTTGGATCTGAGCAACAAACTCCGATGTGAAAATATGTTTGAAATCAGAATAAGAATGTAAATTAGCACGCAAAACATTGCACCTGAAGGTTGAGATTCATAAGGGACAAGCTGGATAAGCTGTCTTATTGAACAGGAAAGAGTACCATAAAATGAACACCCGTGCCTGTGGCTGAAGATTAAGAATTCAGTTCTCCTGTGAAGAACAGAGATTTTTATTTTCTTAGTCAGCAGAAGGCTGCATTTAGATAAAATCTGAATCTAGTTGCACTTGGCCATTGTGAAAAGACATTCAGAGTATTATTTTTATACAAAACTACTTTAATTTTATATGGGAGAAAGTAAATACTCTTAGCAAATAGACATTTATGTCTCCTGCTATACATGGGCCCAATGATTTGCAAGGGTTTTTATGCTGCCTTACCTATAATGTTTATGTTATGTATATATATGTACACTTTTTCCTGGAGACCGATCTGAGCCAGCTAAATGTTTACAGTCAGGTACTGCACTAGACACCTTAATTTTCTGCCAAAGGATTCTGCCAAGCCTAACTTTATACAGCTGCTGTGGTTGTGATGATGGGTGGGGGAGAGGAAATTGCATTGTGAGACAATCAAGGCAAGTGAAATAAAACTTGGTTCTTACCATTACAGTCCAAGCTTTCTTTTTCAAAAGAAGATAATCAGGCATTATCTTTTGTTATTATCCATTTGAAGGCAGTCTACTTTTGAATAACATAATTGAAGCTCACTTCATCTGAATTGTTTGGGAGTTGTAGTGAAGCAGCTGTAATGGCTTCTTTTTAAATATAAAATTCATTAGCTTAATATTACACTCAAACCAGTCCTCATTCCTGTTTAAACCAATGTTGTTCCATCCTTGGAGAGAGAGATTTATCACACCAGATCACAAAGTAATTTAGAGTGGCTTAGATTATCAAAATAAAATGACAAAACGGGAGGGGAGAAGGCTGATCATAGAAATATTGCCATATTTCCAGGTTTTATTTTTATATCTCTGAATGAGGAATCTCCAGAACATTTTTCTTTCTACAGTTCAGGTGTGGACATTGAGTGTGACTGCCTTAGCAAGAACTTGTGACGAATACATAAGCCGCACAGTCATCAGGTGTGAGTTGGACAGCCATATAAGTTTGTTTAATAAATAAATATCTATGCAGGTAGTCCTAAAGGGAGACTAGTATAGCTCTATTTCAAGCTATTTAGCTCTCATCAACTAGCCATACCCTTACTGGGATTCGAACCTGTGCTATATTACATCTTAAGCAGACGTCTTAGCCATTAAGCTATTTATTTATCAGCACAAATATAACACAAATATAACAAAGGCAACAGTAAAAATATTGGGTTTCTGTCGTGATGGACTCTTGTGACGAGCCGATTGACAGATAATGGAAGCAGTTAGCTTCCTCCCATAATTGGGGCATACCAGGGGTTGTGACACTAAATATATACCTTCCTCCCTGGCTTCAGCTGATAAGGAGGAGGACCTGTGGCTTAATGGCTAAGACGTCTGCCTAAGATGTAATATAGCACAGGTTCGAATCCCAGTAAGGGTATGGCTAGCTGATGAGAGCTAAATAGCTTGAAATAGATCTATACTAGTCTCCCTTTATTTATTTATCAGCACAAATATAACAAAGGCAACAGTAAAAATATTGGGTTTCTGTTGTGATGGACTCTTGTGACGAGCCAATTGACAGATAATGGAAGCAGTTAGCTCCCTCCCATAATTGGGGCATACCAGGGGTTGTGATATATATATGGCTAGCTGATGAGAGCTAAACAGCTTGAAATAGATCTATACTAGTCTCCCTTTATTTATCAGCACAAATATAACAAATGTAACATATATATATATATGTATGTATGTATGTATGTATGTATGTATATGTATATGTATGTATACATTAGTAATAGCATGAAGTTAAGTCCAAGATATTAATTTTTTTTTTCATTAGCTATCAAAATCTGGACTGCAAAAATTCAGATGACCACTAGATGGAAGCAGAGTTAGGTTTTCTTATCTCCTGCTATCATCTAGAGGTCATCAGGACCTTTGCAGCCTAAATGTGGGCATTCTCGCATCATTTTCCTGCCTGCTTTCCCCCCCCCCCATTTTTAATTACTTTTACATTACTCTTTCCCATTCCAACCACACTCCGTGAAATTGATTCATGTAAATATTTCTAATACTGGAATTTCCAAAATAGTGCTCAGAGGCACCTCTCTGAACACCTCCGCATTTTCCTTCTTTCTTTTTCTTTTGTCCAGCACTTCCCAGGCAGAAAAGGATGTTCCATCAATCTTTATTCAGTCATCAATCAGTTCTTCACTGTAAGTGAAGAAAAGAAAATGACTGATCCAATAATAACCAGATAGAACAAATCAGAATGACCAGGTTATTTAGTAAAGAATGGAGATAATAGTTCTAGGTGTTTCTAGGTAGAACTGGAAAGTCTGCTGTTTGAGATCAGCTATTGCATGTTCATAACTCATCAAAATAATGGCTGTCCATAAAAAGGACATTCTTTGCTATCAACAACTTATATTCTTGCTTTGCAGTTAGTGCCTCATATGATTTTCACGATGTCAACTGTTTTGGGTGAATTGATAAGCAATCTTCTCCAGCAGCAACCATTTTGCAAATGCATGCATGACACACCTCTTAAAATTTCAACTATTTCTAACAATTTGGGGATTGCGTTATAAATTTATGTTCCTGCTAGTGGATAATCTCTCTTTTTGAGGTCCTCAGACTTTACATTTACTACACAAGCAGGAGAAATTGGTCTACTCATCCCTCCTTCACCCTTTTCTGTCTAATTAAATATACATACCGAACTCCGCCACATCATTATCTGCTCATTTGCAAAGTATCCCAAAGGCCCTTTAAACTCAATGCATGTCTTTCTCCACTTTGTCCTCACCACTCTGGGACCTCAAACATGTTTAGAATTATCATGAGCAATCAGGGGGCACCATTACACAATGTTGCAGATGGAAGAAAGGCTCTACTTCATTCTTGGCGAGTGGATCAGTCAGCTGATACACTGTCAATCTTCCTTTTTGTCTTTTAATTAACACACAAAACAGTCTTTTCTCAAGCTGAACTGTAGGACAGGCATCTACACAACCTAGGATGACCTTGTATAATCCATTTATGGAATAGAGTGGAAGAAAAATATTTTCTTCTGCCAGAGAAGCAGAGGGTTAGAGATTTTGTAGTAGTACAAACATATAGTGGCCAGTATTGTAGTAGCATCTTCAAGTGGCTGGAGATATAGCCAAAAAGTTTCTATATAGTCAACAGGCAGTGACTAGTTCAGAAGAAATCAAGAAGTCCCATGTTTCTATTTGAATCCACTACTTTATGGAATCGTTGGAACCTCAGGTGTTTTTTTCTTCTTCTTTTTGATTTAAACCTTATACTCTGGTTTTATAAGATATTCATCTAAGTCTATTGCATATTCAAGCACAACTGATTCTACTTTGGACAATTTAGGTGAAGATCAAGATCTGTTGAAAAGATTCTAATGCTGGGAAAGCTGGAAAAAGTAGAGCAATAGGGTAGATGGACTCAGTTTACAAGAGTGACCATTAGGAGACAGGAAAGACCATGTTAGGGACAGATTATCATGGAAGAAATCTATGTGGTTGCTAAGAGGTGACAATGACTAGATGGCACATCATCTATGTAATGCTAAAACTCACATGTCTGTAACCTTTCACTGGGCAAACCGATACATCACAGGGCAAAACCAAGGTATTTCAGATGAGCTAAGCATCCAAAACCCAGGACTCTCCTGGAATTGAAATTTGGCAAATTTTATAAACCATTTTCTGGGGCCAACTTCTGATGTTTGACTATCCTATACTGTTCACTGTGGGCTACTTTCAAGGCAGATTCATCTCTGGAGTATGCCTCTGAATTTTTGGGAACTTTCCCAGTACATTAGCTTTGCAATTGTAGAAGGAATTAAGGAATCTAGCAAGGCAGGGGTCTCATACCCCTAGGCCGCAGTCCACTTTTGGGCCTTGATCTGTTCCGAACTGGACCATGGAAGTGGCGGGTGAGCGTGCGCACACCTGCATTCCCACTTGCACAAATAGCAGGCGTGTGCCTGCACTCTATTTGTGTGAGTGGTGCCTGCTGCTCACACAAATGGAGCTGCATGTATATACTTGCCTGCTACTCATGCACAACCATCCCTTCTACCTCCCGGTAGAGGAGCCACACATTTGGAAAGGTTGGGAAACTCTGGTAAGGGAAGATCTCTTGAAATAATGACCCAATGGGTCTCACAAAGTGGAGTCAGGGCTCTGACTGTAGATAGTCTTCGAGTCACAACCATAATTAGGCCCAAAATTTATGTTGCTAAGTGAAACATTTGTTAAGTGAGTTTTGCCCCATTTCAAGACTTTTGCCACAGCTGTTAAGTGAATCATTGCAGTTGATAAAATTAGTAAGGCGGTCGTTATGTGAATCTGGCTTCTCCATTGACTTCACTTGTCAGGTCGCAAAAGGGGATCACAGGACTCTGGGGCACAGCGTTGAACATAAATATGAACCAGTTGCCAAGCATCTGAATTTTGATCACATGATCATGGGGATTGTGCAAAGGTCCTAACTATGAAAAATGGTCATAAGTTTTTAAAGGAAAAACTGTATTTGTCTGTATACAAATACAAACGGGACCATGCAAATTACACCATGTTAATTACTTTTAGTATTAATTACTGTTAATCCATATATGCAAATATGTAGCTTTGAACAGTTTTCCTCACGAAATAAATGAAGTTATTGTTTTTGACGTGTTCTCTTTATCTATTTTTAGGATTTGTGTAGGGAACGAATCACACTGAAGGTCAGATTTATGCAAAAGTATTGAAAATTGAAGCGTTTAAGCATCAGTGTGTGACGGTGAACCAAACCAAACCATAGCTAGGAATGGGGCCAAACTATGGAATCTCTCAGACTGTGCTTTATCAGAATGACCTCGGGAACTATGGTGTTGTGATACAAGGCGCCCATCTTTGGTTTTGTGGTGTGTGTGTGTGTGAGAAAGAGAGAGAGAGAATGTCATGACTCATGTAGTCCAGCACTGCTTTTAATCAGACAGACCGCAATACCACCACTTCATATCTATTATTTTTGCAGTCTCCAGACCATTGAAAATATACTGAAGAAATTGGACGGCAAAACCTAGAGATCAAAAA